TTCTTCACAATGATAGAGAAAGGGGGGGGGGGGGGGGGGCAACCCCATGGGATTTGCCTGTCTGTTTGGTTGTTTGCTTTGGTAAAAGACTCGGATGTTGTAACGCCCAAAGTTCATTCATTTCCTTCCCAGGAAGTTTATACAAGCTTGCGGAATTGCTCTGGAGCTCAACGAGCGGCTCATTAAGGAGGATCAAGTGGAGTACCACGAGGGGCTAAAATCAAACTTCCGGGATATGGTGAAAGAGCTTTCTGACATCATCCACGAACAGGCATGTACTGCGTGTCAGGAGCACACAGATTTGGTTCTCTGTGCTTGCAAACTAGCTCATGCTGAAACCTCACTCTTCATGTTGTTTAGCTAAATAGAAAAAGGCGAGTAACTGAACGTGAAAAGTAAATTATACACTTGGTGGATTCCTAAAGCCAGTTTCTGCTGATTGAAAGTCTCAGCCTGGTGTTGGTACAGTGTGCTTCAGGGTGGAGTCTTCGCTGACACATACCATTAGTTTCCTGGCTGCCATGGTCATCTGAAATCCTGTGCCATGCTTTGCCTCATGTTTTCTGCATCGTAGGATTCCTGTGATAAGTCACATATTGAAATTCTATGGCAAAATTTCCATTTTCTCAGTTATATCCAGCTTAAGTTCCTTTTTTTAAAATTATTTGTCATTAAAGGATGTTTTCTTCTAATTTTGGCCTAATGCCAGCATACTATTTATGTGCACTGTTGAAATATTTGTGCTAATTTATCCAACTGATGTTTTAATGTTTTCTTGGGCCTTTCTAGGAAAATACTTTTGAATAGTAGCATCAGAGAGGTGAGAGATTCAAAGAACAATTGCACTTCTACCTAATATCGTGCTGTGAAATTAGATGAAAACTGGCTTTCTGAAGTAATCTCTGTACCTCTACTCTTGAATTTTGCCACCATTGTGACAAAAGAAAGCTCCTTGTAGATTTATAGCATCAAGCACATAAAATGAATGGTGCAGACTGAACTATGATTCATAGTACTTGAAATTTAAAAGAGTGTTCTCAGTCTCATTCAACATACAGACCACGTGTGACTTAATTAAAAATGCAACATTTTAAGTCACTAAAAATGTATAGGCACATTCCATAGTTAGGCTGAGCGGTTGTTCAAACTAATGCAAAAAATGTGCAAGTGGCAAAATAATACAACCACATCGGGCTGCTATTTGCAAGTTAGGTTTATTTACAATAAGATAATGGCTATGGGAATCAAACAGTCTTGTTTTGGAAAAGTACAATATAATTTCAGGGAAACAGTACGTGCAGTCTTACGATGGGGCTGAATTTTATTGTAGGAGTATAAGGGAGGATCCACTGGAGAGTAAGTGTCTGCTCCATCCCCCTTACTTTACTTAGATTTCCCTGCTACTCTGACCACCATTTTCTCACTGTGCAAACTACTAATTCTGCAAATTCATAGGTTTGGTTTTTTTTCATGTACATTACCTGCCAGGTATACTCCATCTGCTGAATTTTGCTCAGCAATGTTTGTTCATAGGAGTCTCCACCTGCCTACTCGAAGCTGTTTGCAAGTCGACCTTTCCAAGGCATTGAATTTGCATGCAGCTGCTGGAACTTTTGTGGTTTCTGAATTCTGCAATAGTCAAATCAAACCCAAATCCCACAGGCCTGCACTGTGGCAGTACAATGGTTAAGATTATTTTAGAACAAAGAAGCATTGTTACAGCATGCTCCCTATTATCTCAATGTATTTACAAATCCACTGTCACGTTGTCTTTGGTTAATTGACAAAATATTATAGCAACTGAAATGTCAAAGTGAAGGGCTCGCTGGGACAGATACACGTTTCATTTTGTTCTTGTATTAGATCAAAAGGCAGCCTAAAAGATCACGTTTACTAGCAGAGTTCTTTATGGTTGTATTACGTAGACTTGACCGCTGACTTGAACTTTGTATTGCCGTCAAATGACCTAAGTATCTAACAAATTGAACTTCAATGAATCATGTTTTCCTCTTCTGCAAATTTACTCAGTTAAACGTAAGAAATATATTGCATTAATTTAGAGTTCTCATTGCAAATAACGTATGCTTTTCTAAATATTGTCAGTGCTCCAGAACAACAAGGCAGCGCACTTAGTTTGCGATGGCAGGGCAGATGGGTCACTCACTGGGTCAGTCTGGGACTTATCTGGTGAGTTAGGGAAATGCAAACACAACAAAGAGGTGAACTGCGGCTGGGCAGGTACAGGAAGCCTCGGAGACTGGCAGAAAACTGGATGTCCAGAAACTGTTTATCATGGCCAGTGATCTCAGTTTCATGCCTGTAAATTCTGGCTAACTAGGTGACTGGTGAACCACAGGGTGGAAACCAAATACCCAGTCAGATCCAGAACAGCTCTGCCTGCGCAAGTGGATCCTGGGCTGTAGGAAGGATCAGCCTTCAGGTTATAAAGTCCAAAATCTTGCCACATGGCACAGATATAGTGAGTGCTTGCTGTATTTAGCTGCAGGTACTTCCTGTGCTTACAAAGAAAAGATATTAGAATTCTGTCACTGCTAAGATATAATAAAGAATTGTTGTACGGGGAATTGTTTCTCCACTATCCTGGGTAGCTGTAACCAAAAACTGTCTGGTTATGCACAGAGCAGGGTCTGTATGAATGCTACACAAATTGATAAATTACTCTTCTTTCTCATTTCTTTGTTATGCTGCCTTTGCGAAACAGCTTTGAAGACAAGGTTGGGTATCTCTTTTGTATACCTTTTTAACCAGCTTGATTATTATAATGAACTGATACTTCCACTGAATTTGTGACTGTTCTGTTTTGTCTAGATCTACCATGAAGATACAATGCATTCACCATGGATGCACGACTCCTTACATGTCTTCTGTGCAATCAGCGGAACATCTGGTGATGGAAGTTACTGTTCACTTAGACCCACTGCTGAAATATAAACATATCAGTCCTATTTTACAGAGCTTTCTCAGGAATACTTGGAACTGTGCGAAGGATGTTTGAGAAAATCCGTGATGAGCAAAGATTCAATTTTTTTTTTTCCCCCCCAAAAAGTTGCCATGGTTTCAAACAGGGTGCTTGCTTATTTTGCTGAGCAACATTGAAAGTGCCTGGACATTGCACCACTGTGCTTGTTTTCTACTTTTCTTTTTTTTTAAGCTAAATGTGAGGAGGACATGGAAAGGCAGTTATCTAAGTATCTATTGAATTGCTGAACTATGAATTGAAATGATAACGGCACTCTGTAAAGTTGTACAATGGAATATAATAAAATGTAAAACTACTTTGTAAATAGAAGGAGCATAGAGTATATAGAAATTAGCATTTTTTCATATTTGCTGCTAAAAGCTTTGTTGGACAGGGAACATGAAGGAGAAATTGTAGTCACTGGTGAGAGACCTTCCTCTTCTAAAAACCAACTTGGGGTCCAGATGCCCCTGTTGTGCTCACACAATGACAGTAAACTTGCCCTAGTCTGGAATAACTGAAACCTAGTTCAGAAATGATAATTTTCATACATCCTCTGAGCAGATAATTCTAAAGTAACCTCCATGAGAGCTGAGCTTGCTATAGCACATTTCAGTTTTGGCTAAACTTGCACCGCTGCTGGAGCGTGGATTGTACTCACTGAGGACAACCTAAGAGATCTGGCATTTTATACGATGTCTTCTCTTTACCACTTGTGGTCTCAAACAAATATAAACCCTGAGGACACCCTGCAGTAAGTTGGGAATTATAAAGTGCTTTAGCACCTTTCAGAAAAATTCTGATAATCTGGGAGATGTGCTTTAAAAAAACCACAATGCAGTGCATCAAAAAAACTCTCACAAAACGGAAGGGATTTTTTAACATCGTATGACATGCATGTTCCCTCCTGTTAAACAGATCTATTTTCCGAAAACCTGTTATTTTTGTCTGACAGGTGGTTGGACAAATTGTATTTTCTGGAATTCCTTTGTTCCTTCTCCCCCTCCCTAAAGCTTTAATGCATTATCTCTGTCTCTTTTTAATAAGACACTTTCAGATGCAGGAAGAAGAAAGATCAGTAATTCTTTTACCAGGCAACATTTTTAACATCCATGTTTTTCAGAATCCCAACAATTGTAAATAAGGGTCCAGTGGTTCATATGAGAAGGCTGGGTTTTTTAAGGATCTGTGCCAAATACCATAATAAAAGAACTTCATCTGGGTATTTAGCTTGGATAGAGTGTCTAGAAAATGTTAAGCTTCTAATTTCTGTAACAAAAATTATCTTCAAATCGTAACTGGACCACATTTCAAAATGTTTATTATGCATGGTTCTAAATACCTAAAATTAATTGTCTTCTGAGAAAATAACGTTGTGATCCGCAAATTCACCCATTAGCTGTTGCAAGCAAAATACAGATGTGCCTATGTTACAAACAGACCATGTTTCTGCTGTATGTGCTTTTATGCCAGGCAGGCTCTAAATTTAGCTTAACAGAAAGAGGAAGAGACACTGGAGGGTTTAGATATGGTTACTACCTTACTGATTTTCATGTTTCAACAAATAATATCTGAAGGCAGATAGCGAGAGTTTTCCAAACCACTTTACTACAAGGTGATGAAGCTGTTTAATAGTGGATACATGGCAAGATTTTTTTTGGAGCTTGTTAAACGCTGAACATCAGTACTAAAGGTGTATCTTGAATAAAATGAACAATGATAAGGCGTGGACATCCGAAAGCTCTTGCACTGTAGCTCTTTCAAATACTACAGCTAACCTAATAGTTTTCCTGGAAATGCAGTGAAATTCTTAGTCATGTTTTCTGAGGTCTTTAATGTTCTGAAATAACATTGTTGGGTTAATTTTAAATTGTTATTCCTCATTTTTGCTGGAATTCCAGTGAAATTCGTACTCGTATCTTCACATGTCTTTAATGGTACAAAATGAATTTGTGTTTGAACTTCTCAATTTATTGTTGGTATTGGAGTTGTCCTGTCATTTCAGTTTAATACACTGGAAAGCTGTCTCAGTAATACAGGGAAAAAAGTATTTAATGCAGGTCCAATTAGAATATATACAGGACAGTTCAGAATACACACTTCTATGCTGTTTTGAAGAATAACAAAAATGCTCATGCCCTAAGGAATTTGTTTTCTGTCCTGCAGGTACATAATTTGGCTGGATTTTTAGCAGAAAAATCTCACAAGTAAAATGTGTCCTTTTTAGATGGGTTGTAAGAAGACTGCTAACAAACCAACTTGGGTTTTCTTTACATTTTCACCCATCTAGAAATGGTGGAGAGCGGTCATCAGATGTTCTACAGCTCTGTCTGGACAACAGTGCCAAGAACGTGTTCACATTTTCTCTTCCTATCCTTTTCCTATCTAATTGTCCCGGTTTAGAGAAGTCCCCAGATTTTTCCTTTATCTGGTTGAAATAGCTTAATTGACAAATATATCTGAGAAGCATACTATACATGTGCCTGTTCTAGGTAGCTGGTACTCACATTGGGTACTTCCTATTTGCTGCCTTTTTTGGAAGAATGTAAATGTTTGTTGTTCATTAACACTTTTGTTTTTCTTATACCACCTAAGGAATAGCAGAAGTTTTTTTAGTCTGTAAAAATTAGTAGACATATTTCAAATTACCACCTGGCAGGCACTCTTTCTATATATTAATATAGAAAAGCTATATACTTCAATATGAAAGGCTATATATAGCTACACATACATATTCTGTATATCCACCTCTATTTACTTTAGCTGCAAAACTGCTGGATAACACGTCAAGTCTCCAGAAGGGATGCATTGGCAGTTTTGCAATCGCTCAATTATTTGCAGAAAATGAGAAGAAATAGTATAAATTATCTGTCGGTGAGGATTAAGAGCCCTTGGCTACTCGCAGTATCAGGACTGTTTTGGATAAGGGTACGTTAGAGCCAAATTGTTTGCAAACAGGACATATAAGGTAATGCAGGGTCTGCCAGCACTTTATGTACAAGAACGTGCTTTTAGAGAGTTAGGCACCTAGGGAGAGTAAGCAAAGTGTAAACATTTACTGTCTTCTTTGACTTGCTGCTTTTCTCTCTGCAGAGAGATTAGAAAGTAGTATTTTAAGACAGATAACTTCAGAGATACGTGTCTTTCCCCGAACAAATCTGGAATGCAGAATTCACTGCAGCCAAGGCGCATACTGCTCGACGTTCGAAATTTCATCTGATAACAGAAATTGTCATGAGATAGGCCAACAGATGGCAAATCTTGGATGTGAGAATATGTGTGGTGTGTAACGTATTTGTATAGTTCTGGAAGCCTTTTGAACATATGCCACGTGGTATTTTGATACAGAATAAGAGTTTCCATAAACGTAATACCTTTTGTCTCAAAGTAGGTAAAATATCTTTGTTTTCCCTTCCTCTAGAGACAGAGTCCCATGAACTTGACAGCAGGCTTCAGAATAACCCTACAATTTGACATAACACAGCCTAAAAGACTGGAGGAAAATATAAGTGGAAGTGATGGGCTCAAAAATCTCACACAAATTAAACCCCATCTTACTCCGTTTACTCCCTTGAGGAGAGCAGCGTGTGTTCATTTGATGGTTGCTGAGCTGAGTTCTTCTAATTAAACATGAGGTTCTTACTGGATTGAGAAATACTGTGTACAGCTAATTAGTGTGCAACCTCAGACTGTCGTACTTAACCTTTAAATCATATGCTTCTGTCAAGCAGTGGTGAACCAGTTATGAGAGACATACAATATTTCAGCTATTCTGGATGTAATTTACTCTCTTTTCATGTAATTTTAATACCTGCTACTATATATTCCTAACAGAAGTGTTTTTATCGTGCGTGTTTCTCGTACAAGCTCTGTTTAACCTTCTGTGTGTGACGACAGCAGTACCTCCCGTTTGCCGCGAGTGTTGTCCGATGTACCTGTGATACCGAGTAATAGAACAGCACTGCTCCAGGGCTTTCGCAGACCAGCAATCCTAGATTGCTCGTTTGATTCTGGTTTTCCTTTTTCTTGAAGAATCAATAATTTTGAGAAGAAGCCAGGGCAAAAAACCCCCACATTTCAGTCAATCCAGATAAAAGAGTTTATTCTAGCTCAAAATAAAAGACTACAAAAACAGGAAAAATAAGTGTTGCGATAAACGTGTTTTGCTTAGGTTTTTTTTTCCCTTCACAGAACAGGATGGGGGATCAGAAGCTAATACTGGTGTAAGAGTCAAGGGACTAAAACCTAGTCAAATGAGGCGTCGCATATGCTGCCTCTAAAGATTACTTCAAGGACGTAAGTACTCCAGATGAAATTGTTAACTCTCGATTATTCAGCAGCCAAAAAAATCCTGATTCAGAAATCCTGGAGGAGCACAAATGCCACACATCCAGCTCAGAGGATCCCAAAACCACAATTCATCAGGAAACTGGAGACAGGCATAGAAATGCATACAGTGCATACAATTTATCAATAGAAGTAAGGTGTGACTCACTAGTGAGGAGGTGTCCTTGCCTACTTGCCTAAAGAATATTCAGTAAGCTTATGATCGGGTTACTGCTCTGTTTTGTAGTTTGAATTTTCAAACCCAGACTTTTGCTTTTTGGGATTTATTATCGCTCTTCCCCAACTAACTCGACTTAAATGGCTAGTACGCTAATGTATGTGCCAAGCACAGGCAGTTGTACTGGCTACTACGTGCTGTAACAGGAGTTACGGGTAACTGTCGTCATTTACCTCACAGGGGTAGGGGACAAACCACTTTTTCTATGGTTGTCTTCTACCACTGAGGCTTCCTGTACAGGGCTCTTGCAAGCCTTGGCCATGCCGCTGTAGAAACAGGTTCATGCCCTGCCTGCCTTATGGGTGAAAGAGTTACTCACTTGGCGAATAAATAGACAAATTAAGTAGAACTTCATATTTAGGGGATTGTCAGCAGAAAAGTTGATGCATGGACTTACAGTGGCAATTTATTGGAGACGGATACCTTTTTTGCACAAACATACTTGGTTCCACATCTAAAGTGCTCTTCAAAGGATGTCGTTTTTATTCCACGTAATTTCTG